AGGCGACAATGATTTGTTTACTTACTGATTTACATACACTTTACATCTCTAAAAAATGCGGCCCAAGGCCCCAACACTCAGCCGTTAACATTACATAAAGCCAATGGTAGAAAAGTGCCAGTATGAATGCAGCTACAACCCCGCCCCAATGTTTTTTTCAAGCGAGGTAGTGTTGCGGAAATGAACTTTTAACTGCAAAAGTACACTGGCACTGCAGTGGTGACAGGGGAAGCAAGAGGGTATGCATGCGGTAATAGAGGTAATTTAGTCCGATACGGCTAGCAATGGATACGGTGAATAAGAGCAAATCATTTCTCTTTCAATAGCGCAACCACTCAACAATGTATTGTAAGAGCATTAAATGTTGCTGGAAATGCCACTCACCTGCACGCTGATGCATGCACAGTCCTTTGTCCGACGAGCGAACAGGCTTGCAGATAGCTGAAGACGTGTTTACGATGTGTTTGTTCCACCCAGCCGCAAAATCCAACTCTACTTCGCGCTCCATAAAGATAAATATACACTAACCTTCATCACGAATAAGTAGAAACGCAAATCTGCGACACACACACACGATCAAAACATAGCTCACAAGTCCGCACGTCCATGTGCTCGCCAACCACAGACCATATGAAAATGAGTAAGTAGTGCGAACGCGAACCAAGTTGCGCCGAGAAAAAAAAAAAAACGTCGAGCAGTGGCAGCTCAGGCGTCAGCGCAATAATTTCAGTGTGTTTTCCTAATACACCTATAAAAAAAACTGAGGTACACTAAAACTCATAAATAAATATAAAATGTTGAGTGTAATTTTTATTTAGTGCTAGTCAACATAAACACTGAATAAAAATTACTTTGTAACTTACATCGTTTGCTACGCTAGCGCCACACTTCTCGTGCGGGCGCAGATGGCGCAAATTTGTCATTCTGCCCTCAAACTACACGGTGAAGCGTGCTACTAAGTGTATGGCTGATGAGAAACGCGTCTGGGTCCGCTTTTTTTTTTTTTTCTTCTCCGATATATCTGGGCGGGGGGCTCCTTATGCACGTGTTTCGGTGCTTGATCGACTTTGACGCCCTTACTTCGCGGACGAACAGCGTGTCTAGGCTTTTTTTATTGTTGTTTTGCACGTGTTTCGGCGTTCGGTCCGCTTTGACGTGCCAACTCTCCATTCTGCTGCTGCGTGTGTTAGGTATTTGCCGTACTGTATTCTCAGGCCTTCTGTGTTCAGCCAGCGCTGCTATCTTATTATCTACGGATGCTAAAATAAATCACTGTTTTGGTTTGGTGAAGCTTGGCACACAGAACAAACAATAATCTGGCCCATGAATATCAATGTGGGCGGCATGCATATTTGTGTGCGGTGTCCTGCCTGGGAGTAACCGTTGCGTGACGAGAGCATTTACAGCGGTTCCTCCTTCCGTTGCTCCCTTACAAACTTAAGATGAATACAGTTGCTCCCCCATTCTCGAACAAGTCGGCCATCTTGTTCCGCTTGGTCTTTTCGGAGAGTAACAGTCGGTCTGAAGGAGTAAAAACAGCCGTTGCTCCCATTTTGGCCATTTTTGGCTTAGAGTGTATATAGCGCCACTTCATAACATCTTGCTCAATAAAGACATAAAACACGTTCACCTTCCAATCGCATGCTTCGCATAACAGAGATTCTCAAGGCACGTTGGATCTTCAGAATAATTAATGTAAATCAGTAACAGCAAAGGTCCTTAGTCCAACCATTGTTGTCGGATCCAAAACTTTCAGGACGCTTGAGCTTTGCCTTCAAGACCACCTAATCAGACCCGTGCCTTCAGGCAAGGAAATAAACGTCTCCGCGGGTAAAATTTGCCATTTTAAAATATTCTGGATTGACTCGTGAGTATAACAGTGTCCAGGTGCCCACTACGCCATATTTGTTTTCTTTTTTTTCTAACTGGCGATGTATCCACTACTCCTGCTGCATGCAGTTGAGTTTATGCACACTCTGTAATTGGCTGGGGTGTTTTTAAACCCCCCACTCGTTCATCAGTTCACTTGTTTTCAGGCATCTGGTTCAATACCATGCATTCTGCCGCACAATATTACATGCAATGATGAAACTTCTACAAATACGTGACATTCGTATAGCGTTTTACATAGAAAGCTGTATATGGCTAGGAGAAATGAAAAAATGCCTGCTGCATCTTCCCACGGTGGGAAATCGAGTAAATGCGCCGCAGAAGGGGTGGGGGGGGGGGAATCCCGTGAATGTTGCGTAATTCCTTATGGTTTGTGAATGCCTAATTGTTCTCTCATTTTTACAGTTTTTCTTTATTGAATGAAGCAAAAACCTTGCGTTAAGCGAGTGGTGGGACGCTGATGTGGGATACGATGCCTACATATAGGGGTGTCGACAGTGAATAGTTGTGCAGCTCGAGCAGTCAGTTTTGCTAGCAGACGCTGCCTGCGTCGGTCTCGCGAGGCGAGATATGGGGGGGGGGGGGCAAACAGTTGGCACGAGACGCAAGCATGCAGCATGGTATTCAAGGCGTGAACATCCGCAGTGGTGGTGTGGACAACGGCGACACACGATGCGTGATATTGTGCGCGACCGAGAAATGCTTCGTATTTATGTGGTTGTTCAAGAGAAAAGAAGAGAAAAGTGAGCCCCGTAACTGTCTGCATCAGAGTGCAACACCTCAACAGTAGCTCACAAGGGATGGGGTAAGGAGGGATTAAAAGGATAGGATTTAAAGGTTTATATAAAGAGAGGAAGGAGAGAGTGAGGTGCAGGGACAGCGAGCGACAGAAGTAAAGAGAAGATAGGACAGATGGACATGTTCGTAGGAGTTCGAGGATGGGGCACCACTAGACGAGAGTTCTTGTCGGCGACAGGAGATGCCATAGGGCGAGCCCAGTCGGCCACAGCTGCGCTATCGTAGGAGATCAGCGTCAGGATATGGCATAGGGCGAGCCCAGTCGGCCAGAGCTGCGCTGTCATCGGGGATCGCGAGGGCACAATCGGTTGGCACAAAATCCAGTGAGCGAGAGCTCCGTATTTAAAACTGTTCGGCATTGGTGCCACGAGTTACGCCATTCTCAGCGTCCAAGCACGTGCGCTGCGTTGTGAGTGACATCGCCTTTTACGTCGAAGCCGAAGCACAGAGAACGCACGCACCAGTTTCTACTGAAACCTCCTGGATTGGTTCACTACGCGCAACTCTAGAAGAGCGCTGACAGTGAGAGAGCTCGCATGCTCCGGGCTGATGGTGCAGCCCGGGCAGAAAAACCTGGGAGGCCGGGAAGCCGAGTGTAGTCCGAAACTGCGTACAGATAGATGATTTAGCAGCCTTCTAAGCCGCGCTAAAATCAGAAGGAAAGCGCCGGTGGCGGGCGGTTCCTGCCAACCACGCCACCCAGTTAACTCGTGATGTCGAACGCTTGCACCAACCCGCGCCTAATGAGCGTCGTTGCGGGTACGACAGCGTGAACGTGAGGATTGCGAGAGCGAGTTCGCCGGGTCAAACACCTGCTTTGCGCGGGAGTTTCCCCAGCGGCACATTGGCTGAGACCACCTGTGGTTGGAGAATAACCGCTGTGATTAAAGCATTACGAAACGAATTTAACTGCTCATCACACTCCTCCATGAGCGTTATCATGCGCTGCACAATGAGCGGCATGTGAAATAAACACGCCGGCAAACCCAAGCCGAACATTTTTCTAACCTCATCAAGGACCTCGAAAACAAACAATAATTGTGAAAGGCTTTAGCTCAACGCCGGGTTGAACTCGCTTCTAAACACCAGAGCCACTGGTCTGAGCTTTCTCTGGTTAACCCTTTGTATGGAGTGGTTGGCTAATGGTTTTCGTTCTTTTTTATTGCGATAGCAATTATGCGGACACTATCGGCGGGATTTCGCCACCGGCGTCGGCGTCGATGTCATGCACAGTATATGTATACGTATCTACCAGCGTCGTGAATGCGAGGTGTTAAACACTGAGCCACCGAGGGGTACTTTTTTGAAAGTTCAAATGGCAACCTATTTATATCTACCACTTAGCACTGTTGACGGGCATCTCGGGGGGGGGGGGGGATGTCGTGTTTTCAGCATTATCAGCAGGATGGTGCAGTGAGCGCGTGGCGGCTCTCACCTTTCACGCGTACTTTCGCGCGCGTCTAGAATAAGGAGGTGTACGCTCGATCACGTGTCCATATCTTGCAGTGGGGAGGATTATACGTCTTGGCCACCTTTTGGCTTTCAGCGCAATGACTCTGTTGTTACCGGGAACACAAAGGTCACTGCAATCGTTGCACAGCCTCCGTTTGTGAAAAGCGCGCGTTTTTCAGGTACAGCAAAGTAACAACCGAGACGCTTAGTCGCGCTCGTCTGTACCTTTGAGTACGTTTTTTGCGTCATTTGCGCGTAAGAAACGCGGGGCACGTTTCGATCTGCTTGCCAATCTGCGCGTAACCTTCCAATCAGTTGCTATCGCTTTCATTGCTTCACCTAAGCGGCAAAGCTGTGACTTTTTTCCCAAGACTGCTTCAAGCAATCACGGGGCCCTGTAGCAAAACAACTGGTTGGTACACAGACCGCCTGGTTTAAATTCTCACTTCAAACCAAAATATCAAGTTTTTATCTGTATTTTTTTTTGCTTTCAGGTCACAGACAAGATGGCAAGTTTCGCCTTTGACTCAGTGTGCGCGGGTGTGCTGTCGAAAGTGCTGTGTTTATCGCTCTTCCCTCTCTGCTCTCTATTTTCATCTCTCCATCTCCCTCCCATGCACAGAGTAGCAAACCGGCTGCCTATAGGCTGGGTAACCTCCCTACCGTTCTTTTCCTCCTATTTTCCTTTCTCACTTGGCTCTCAACTATATACTGACACAGATGCCAGAATTTCTGTGAAACGAGCTCCATAACGCTATCAGGTTAGAACAAGGCAATTATCGCAAGCAAATAATTTGCACGTCTCCGTTGCCGTTGTTCACCCTCGCTAAAGATGTCGAAATGACGCCCACAAGACTGACCACTTTCCACCGCTCTTTGACGACATGTCCCGGCTGGAGGAGGTCTTCGCTGGTCATAGTGATCCGGTAGCTGGACAGGTTGTTGTTGTCGTCCTCCTCGCACGACGCACTTCCGCCGCCATTATAGCTGTACCTGCAGCAGAGAGAGGTCGCACACTTTTAACACTCGCTTTCCTCTACGCACGAGGGAGAAATAATTTTCTACGGCCGTTTGTTGCACAAGTGAGAGGCTACTTACACGAAACTATAAAAGAAAACGGTGCCGCTTCATATCGGGTTCACACGATGTAATTACGAGACATTAAAAACAACTCTACGAGCTCTATCTAATTCATTTATATGTGAAATTAACACAGCGTGACACAAACAATTACGACCCACGCACCCCTACCTTAAAGAAAATTGTGCAAGTGAACAAGACTGCCCAAAAGCTCGATCTAATATTGATGAGCGAACAAAAGGTAATTTTTGAGGCACCTTTTCCTGCACTAGACACAACATATTAAAAACAAACCCAGTTAAGCAAAGCATGGGTAATGTTGTTTTAACATAACTATAACGTAAACGCGAAGACAGTAAAGTAACGAGGAGAAAAGGTAACTGCTGGCAGCGAGCTGTCTTTTCGTGCTTTCTTCGTGCAACCTATTTATATCAACCGCTTACTACAATTACTACAATATTCACAATTACTACAAAATAACATTCTTTTTGCTTCTGTGAGCTATCATTAATGTTGTGGCTGAGATTTACGCCCGGCGAAGATGGAGTGGCCACTCCATTCAAATCGACGGTATCGTCGTGCATGGGGCACCTTTCTGCGGAGTAAAAATGAAAAGCATCACAGTAAGCGCTATGGCGGTGGAAGGCAAATGATGCGGCGACAGTGCCGGGCCTGTGAGTGGCTCGCAATGTCGCCGCAGAAGGTTGCGGAAGCGGCATCTCAGCCGGCGCGATGCTGAATGCCTCTGGCGAATGCCACTCTCACGGCACTTCCGATGTCATCGAACTCGCATCGACTCGATATCGCATCGCTATTACTAACTTTATTAGTTCATATTTATCATCATCATCAGCTTCACTGCGCCCAGTGCAGGGCGAAGGCCTCTGAAGAAACCGCTGTAGAGGTGTTTTCTGCCCATATATAGAAAGCTCACTCGGTTGTGATGACAGATTTCGTGTGGTGGGCAGCGCCTTTGTGGCAAGAAGCACGCCAAGTCGGTGGTGCAGTAGAATGTGCAAGGAGATTATGAGATTGCGCTTTCCTGCGGCAAACTTTTGTGGGAAACTGCCGTGCACGGGAACAGCAGATGTCCGTCAAAAATTATGTAATGGCTCACTTGCCCACTCACTGTACCCTAAGATATTGGGACGTAGCAAGAACACGCCAGGCAGTTTTGAGAGGATCAAAACAGAAGGTGGAAGCTACGTAGGTGACGCCTCAATATCAATCTTTGATGCAGAGATGTCTTTTTTTTATGGTTGAGGCACGTAAGCACTTCGTGTGCGTATGTGCGTCTACGCAATTGAGTTCGGGAAGCCTGTTGAAGTTACACTCCCTGGTAAATGAAACGGTTGATAGTTTGCGCTCATTCTGTTCGTGTGCATTGTTTGTGGCACTGCGCAACTATTCCTAAGTTTCTGTGTCCTCCTCGCGCGTTTGCCTTCTCTAGGAATCCAGTCAGGCACCCTTAATTGCCTGCGTGTGTCCGCCGCGGTGCCGCTCGGCTGCTTCTATTCCCGCCGCGGTTGAGGCTATTCAAATGACATTAGAAGGCGGAAGTTTCTTGAGCCCTGCGGCGTCTCTCATATCGTGGGTTTTGTACATAAAACTTATATTATCCTTAAACGGTACTCACATTATTTACTCGCTTACTGTTATCATTAATGCTGTGTTCGGGTAAACTACAGAAATGACCCTGCTTCCAAACACTTATTTCCGTGGCATCCTATGCGGTTAATATGAGTTGATACATCACCGAAAATTCTACGATTCAGAAGATTTTAGTCATTGTCAAGATAAGTATGATTGGGTAGGTATGTCTAACAAAACCTGGGCACATGTAACGCATTGATGCATGTAAACTATATGGCAAAGGCGCTTTAAAAGGAGGGGGGAGGCAGGCTGTCATCGCTGCGCGCAATGCAGGCAAGATAACGCATACCACAGCCATCTATAGCACACACTCGCGCCTAAAAAATCTACTTCCTCTGGACCATCCAGAGACTTGGTGAGGATATTGATACGTGTATGGAACTGTCGTTCCGGCACAAGCACTGAAATAACACCCAAAAGGAGGAAGCCGACAATGTGTTTGGTGTGGGTTGGACTATCGAGTTTCCACGCTGGCCTGCAATACTCAATGCTCTGTACGGCGTTAGCAAGACCCGCTATCTCCAAATAAATCTTCCCCGTAACAATATTAACCTAGGCCAAATCATGTATAGCATAACCGATCTCTACAGTGGTGGGCAGTATCGAAAATTAATGTATCTTAGACACCATCTTATATGCACATTGGGTATTGTGTATCCGTATCGCGATACGTCTCGCAAAATGAGCAACTGTATTTGTACTCGAGACACATTCAATAATGCACCATGTGTGTGGTGTTTTTTTTTTTTGGGCACAAGGGCCATTTGATGGTTAAAGAGCGCCAGGTCATAGGACAAGATGTGAACAAAGAATGTGTTGGGTGGCTGTATATGGGCCCCTTAAAATGTCTCGCGCTATAGGGCGGGTAAAATATAGAAGTAATAAAATCATGACAGTGACGTGAAACGTATAGTAAAAGTGAATGGAGAAAGGTTCTGATAATAAAGCATGGTGGAGGCATTTGACACAAGTGCCTCATCTGTACCCTTGTGTCCAAGGCGTGCAAGACAGGTGCTTTTTAATGAAGCCACCACAGCAGCAACCTCTCTTGAGAGGTCGCGCCACGCGATGCTTTGGTATATTGCATTAAAAGTGCGGACATCTCTTAAAAAGTCAACACAGATTTATGAGTGAAAAGTGGTTCCTTACCAACAAACTTAGCCGGATGAAGTGGTACCTGTTGTCGTTCGGGTAACGATAAGTGTTGTTTGCTTAGAGTGTCCAAGTGTTCGCACAGGATTAAAATGTGAAGCACTGTTAGTACTTCAACACATTTGTCACACAATGGTGGATCCCCACTGGACAAAATGTATGAGTTTTTCATGTATGTGTGCCCTATCCTGAGCCTTGTTAGTGTTACCTCCGTACGACGTGATTTCGATACTGACTGCCAATTACCAAGGTGTGGCTTAATAACACATTTGTTTCGTCTGTGCCTATCCCACTTGCTCTGCCAGTAATTCCTGAGCTTTCGTATGAGAGACGGTTTAAGGTCAAGGGCCGGTATAGATATGAGTGTAGTGGCAGTGCTTTCGTGGACGGATGCAGCAAGCTGATCCGCCATCACGTTGCCTTGGATCTCACGGTGCCCTGTCACCCAGCAAACTACGAAATGTTGTTTGAGTGTGTAGAGTGTGCATAAAGTAGAGTAAAGTGCGACGAGCACAGTTTTTGTTTTGTTTTTTAAGAGTTTGCAGAGCTTTTACCACACCTAGGGAGTCCGTGTAAATAACTGCTTTTTGTAGTTGTAGTTGTTTATTGTGTTTAGCGGCCGCAAGTATCGCATAGGCTTCCGTTGTGAATATACTTGTATTTAGATGCAGAGGGCCACAATCTGAAAATGATTGATTGATATGAGCGGTTTAACGTCCCAAAACCAACATATGATTATGAGAGACGCTGTAGTGGAGGGCTCCGGAAATTTCGACCACCTGGGGGTTCTTTAACGTGCACCCAAATCTGAGCACACGGGCCTACAAGCATCCGAAAAAGATGTCCCGACAGCAGCGTAGGACACAGAAGACTTAGAGACATCTGTAAAAAACTCAGGACACGTGTATTGTGTTGAAGTTTTTGGAAGTATATGTGGATGTGGGCAATGGGCGCGTGTTTTGTTACTTCTAGGAAGGACACATCGCAATCTAGAATTCGCCACTGCCACGGTGGTAGGTATGCCGCAGGAGCCATTAAGCTGTGTTCAAGTGACACACCAGTCTTCTCAGCAAGACCCTTCAGGTGAACTGAGTAGGGGTGCCTCAACGAAGGTCTGTTGTGAAACAGAGCCGAGCTCGACAAATCCTTATTAGTGGAATAGGAGGGGTGCTTCTTGTCTGCGTTCGCCTTGATCAAATATATAAAGGACATGTAAGTTAATGTGGAAACATATGAGCGCACAAGGTAGAAGGAAAAGCACTTGACAGGAAAGACGCTAAATTACAACTTAACATTTATTAGAAAACGTTCATTGCACGAGAACACAAACGCGCAGGCGTAACCAACTATCACTTCAAGGTTCCACCCCCTCGTTTTCCCCCCCAAGAAGGAGGTAAACGTTTATCTACTTCAACAGCTCAAAAAAGACACCTATTTTTCACTTAGTGCTACTGAAAAAACACTGATACACGTGCTTGCGCTCGCCCTAGTATGTTCTGATTCCGTGGCCTCTTTCCAGCTCAAAGTGATATCACAAAAAAAAAAGATGACATTGTAAAGGTGAGGTAAGGTTTTCTTGCATTTCTAAAGGTAGGTTCTTGAACATTTCATAGACCACACGATCTGATCCCGGGGTAGAATTGCTGCAGCAGGTTTGAGATGCCTGTAGTACAGCTAAAGAGAAAGGTTAGTTACATGCCTCGTATTCTGTATATTTGGTATCTAGTTTCTGCTTCTCCACCCTTGTCTTGTGGCGTTAGAACTCTTGATAGTAGTGTGACGAGCTGGAAACTTGCTCGAAGTGTGCTCCTAGGTGATTTGCCTCGTCCTTCCAAGCTCTCGCCTTGTGTGTTCACCAGAGGCAGCGCATATTCTTCTTTTCCTCCCACCATTTTCACTCTGTTCCTGACCTTACCCTCATGTGTGTTCTAAGTGATGTCAGATAAAAAATTTTGCCAACTTTCTCTTCTTGCCTACCTGCACGTCCTCCTGCCTCGGAATTTTATGGTCTAAAATTTGTGGCATTTTCGGCCATCGGTGATTCTCGAGGCAATCTCCATGCTTTGTTTTGTATTTCACGCATTTTTCAACACTCGTATTTCCACCGA